TGATGATGACAAAACCTTGTCGAAACGTTGTACATTTGCTGTCATGTTAAACTTATATTAAAGTTTTTCTTCATTACCCATTTAAGCCGTCTCCAGCCATTAATAGTCTAATAATGTTTACATCATAGACTGACATAGTACCCGTTAATACATGAGAACGTCATTCAATGCTTGTGGCACATGAAAAACCTTCACAGCACTGGCACGAGGGAATAGCTTTTTGTTATACAGAGAGGTGAGCATATGTTTCTGAATTGTATTTTCAAGAATAATAAAAAATATGTAGTACACTTATCAATGACTTAATATTATACAAAATGTCCATATCACATGCAAACGCTATAAAACTTTATTACTTGCAATATGCAAACTAACATCAAATAGAATTACCAACAATAGTGAATAAACAAAATATTATTCTAAAATTAATACTTTGTCCCCACTACTAACATCAAATGGCCTCTCAACTTCTCTAACATTAGAGAGATGTGCTTATTATGAAACAGATGCAAAGTAAGAAATGGTCAAATGTCTCTCTGCTGAATAAACCCTAATTTATCACTAATTCTTTAAATGTAGACATTTAATTCTTAAAAGACTGAGTGTTATTTTTTTATCCTTGACAAATGAAGTTTGTCCAAAAAGTTTTAAAAAATGTCAAGAATGCATAATCATTTTGAGTTCTGGTGTTACTATAGTCCTCACTCTTGGAAAATGTGCCATAAAACCAATTCTACCCTTCAGTCCTTTCAACATAAAATGAAACAAATAATAAATATGAAAAAAATATATAATTATGCTACATTATCATTTCCCCAAAACCCCATTCTCATGCAATAAATCATAAAAACAGAAAATATCATAAATCAGACTGAGAAGTTTTCAAGAAAACAGAGTAGAAAGTTACAAATCATTTAAGCCACATTTTTTGACTACAGATATGTTGAAGAAATGTACATTTTAGAATCTATATAAATAATACAGTTGCATTTGTCTGTGTGTCTGTCTGGAACTTTTCTCACAAACTTCTCGATCAAATGCTATTAATCTCTTATCATTAGAAAGGCCTTTATCTAAGGAGTCGAAATTGAATATTGACTTTTCAATTCAAAATCAATTTACCTGTTTTTTGCTTAGTAAAACTTTTCAATGCAACAAGCATGGTATAAGATGGCACAGTGTCGATGTCATCATGTGATAACTGGCTTCGATTTCAGCTTTCATTTTTTTATTTGCAAAGTATTTTACACAAACAATACTTAACCAGTGTGTAATTTCATAAAAAAATTAACATTACACTAAATACAATTTCTATGGGCTTTCTCAACTTACTTAGGTCTAAAGTATGCATGCACAGTTCGTTCAAAACCATATGCTTATCACTTTGTGAACACGCATTTACACATTT